GTTAAAGACATGAAGGTTTGGGATGGTGAAAAAGTTCTAATATTCTCAGATAACATGAAGCTCACTTTTTAGGTTACTTTTGAAGGCTGTTCCAAAAAAAACAGCAAAATGGAATGAACCAACACATTTGCTTAAAAAGATCATACACAGCATGGTAGAGCTTTCTGAGTGCTTCACTTCACAATGGGGATCCACTGACTTCCAAATGAAGTTGAAAAGTTCATATAACACTGATACTTTGTTCCTCATGTTTAGACAGCTTTTCTTGTCTGCAATTTCAGAAACATCATCAATTAGAGTAGGCCCACATATTATTTTCAAAAGTAGTATCACCCAGTTTCCCTTTTGGGAGGGAAGAATGGTCCCCCAATACTAAACTGAACCCTGTAATGTGGAGTGACCACACAGAAAACACAGCCAAAGGATTCAGGAAATGATACAAATCTTCTTAGTCTAATAGTTATTTTGGGGGTGCCTGGGTGGCTCAGTCAGTTAAGCGTCCCACTCTTGATTTTGGTTCATGTCATGATATCAGGGTCATGAGATAGAGCCATGAGTAGGGTTCTGTGCTCAGCACACAGTCAGCTTGAGATTCTCTCTCCTCCCTCCACCCCTCCCCCTGCTCGTGTTGTCTCTCTCAGATAAATAAAATCTTTAAAAGTAGTTTTTTTCCCCTTCAAACTGGAAAATTTTCCAGAATGACTAAAAAGTAAAGTTAGCAAAATATCTAAAGGAACTGACCCTTACATATTGATAATTAAAACTTTGCTGGTGATTAAATTAAGATATTTCAGAAACCTCATAGGCTTTCTCCATTTTAAAGAGTACTAACTTCATGTATCGTTGAAATATTGCTTGGCCTTATTTTAAAAACAGCTACAAAAATTGCTACTGTCTATTGAGTGTTGTATGCAGTGCTCTGTGTTTCATTTATTTCACAATCTTATAAAGTAGGAATTTTAACCCATTTTAAAGATGAAGAAAGAGTCTTGTCTAAGTCTACCAGTTACTAATCGACAAGCCAAGATTCAAATCCAGGACTGTCAGATTCCAAATCCAAATTTTTACAACTATGCTATTATTTAAATAAATAGATAAAAAATGAAGTGTAAGAAGACAATTAAGACTTGTAGTTTCCTACTCTTCAAATTCAATGCAAAGATGTGCTTTTCCTTACTACTCCCTTACTCCAAAACTTTCACTGGGGCCTATGCACTGCCTAGGAAGTCTGTTTTCCCTGAGCCAACTCATCCATCCCTCAGGTCCCATTTTAATTGCTATTTCCTTAAAAGACTTATTTTGAGCTTCTCATATAAATTAGGCCACCTGTTATTATTCCTTCAAAGTATCCTTCTTATTCTTTCAGGCTCTTTTCATATTCTGTGTGTTGATTTGTTCCACTGGGCCAGGGACCATGTGTGATATGTTCACCCCACTCCTAGACCTGCACATCCAGAGACTAGAATTGTATCTGTCAAATACACATGCTCTTTTGTTAAACACATACATGGAATGAAAGAAATTAAGCCACACAGTCAAGGACTTCCATAATTTGATTCTACTATATCTTTTCAATCACATTTTGCCACTTTGGATTAATTTACAGTTTCATGTGGAGGTCTTTGGCTCTCTCTGAGACTATAAATCCTACCCAGCCTTCAATGTTCAGCTCAAACCCGCCTCCCTTAAAGGCCCTGGCCTAGACATACAAAGCCTTCCTCCTACGCCTAACACACTCACATAGCATTTGCTCACCATGCTGCCAGTCCAGCCTTTATCACAACCTGCTTTGCACGGTTAATTTACTGTTCATACAGGTGGGTCTTACGTCTGCATCTAGAGCTACACTGTGCAATACAGTGGTCACTGGGCATATATGGCCACTATGTATAAATTAATTAACATTAAATAAAATTTAAAATTCAGTTCCCCATTCACATTAGCCCCATTTCAAGTATTTAATAGCTACATATGGCTAGTGACTACCATACTAGACAGCACAGACAGGACAATTCCACCATCACAGATATTTCTGTGCCTTGAGTATAAGAACTATATTTTATACTCCCCATTCCATACTGTGAGGATAGTACCTATAACATCTCATAAACAGTGAGAGTTCAATAAATATTTTAAGCAGTAATAAAAAAATAACTTGGTGAGCAAGAGACCTTTGACATGACCCTAATTACACCGTAAGCAGCTGTCTTCCACATTAGCACAGGTCTATTTATTAAGCTATTGCTAGTCCTTGAGTCAAGCCTTCAGCTGTTTTTCCAATGGTATTCTCCAAGAGTCAACCATACAAAAATTTGTATGGTATTTTTCAATTTATAAAGTACTTCACATTCATCATGCAGTTGGCCAAAATGGTATTCTGAGGAATACAGAAATTCAGGTTAAATCTAATATTTAGCTAGTGGCAGCTAAGGGCCAGACACTGGGCGAGCTGATTTCCCTGTGTCTCATCAACCTCACTAGATCAAAAGGAAAATGAGTTGACAGAGGGTAACCTATCCACATCTACCAGTAACAAAATCCACATCTTAACCAATATATGTTCGACTCCTGGCTAGGCATTTTTACAGAAACAAGGTCAATATGTTTAATGGAGTAGATATTGTCTAATAAAATTACAATCTATCTTGTATTTGAAGGAAAAAGGAGAACTAAAAGTAAAGAATGAAAAACTTTTTCCTATAATATGGGAAAGTGTAATTAGGTAACTAACTTTTGAGATAAACAATGGCTTTTTTTTTCTTTTAGCCAGAAATAGAGCCAATTTATTTCGGAAGTAAGAGGGCTAGATTAGGGGAAGAAGTACAGGCAATTTTAAAAAATCCAAACTGTAAGACATTTTTAAAGATGCTGTGTAGTAACATTATCGAAGATATCGTTATTGTAGGAAACATATACTAAAATATGGCTGAAAATTAATATTAAACGAGTTAAGCTATTTAAATTCTTCGGACCTTTATTATGTATCATTTCAAATTATTTCAAACGCTCAACTTATTTCAAACTTTTAAATCTTGAATGACCCAAATGTTTATTAATAATTTTAAATTATGCACTGACAGCATATTAGTGAGCTTTCACCATTAAAAATATGATTGGGGGCATTAAAGTCCTTTATGAGTTTCAATAAATATGATCCAGAAAAGCTGAGATGTGTTCCAAACTGCGCTCTCAACCCACCAAACCAGTGAACACTCAATCTGTTTCTTCAAATATAAAACACTGATTTTTTTAAAGAATTATTTATTTGAGAGAGAGAGAGAAAATGGGGGGAGGGGCAGAATAGAGAGAGCGAGGGGAAGTAGACTGCCTGCTGAGCAGGGAGCCTGATGCAGGAGCAGGGCTGGATCTCAGGACCCCGAGATCATAACCTGAGCTGAAACCTAAGAGTCAGACACTTAATGGGCTGAGCCACCCAGGTGCCCCTGATGTGTTTTTTCAATCTACCTCAAAGAGAAACTACGATTACTGTACTTATTAGGCTTCTTTCTAATCTCTGCTATAATTTCTTCATGAAAACAACATCAGTGATGAGAAAATAGGCTGTTCACTTATACAACTTTTTTTTTGAGGTTGTCTCTTACACTAAAGCTCTCATTCTCAAAAAGGGACTGAAACACTGATATACAAGGCATCAAAGCATTCTTTAAAAGACCCAGTATCCACTATGGTTACTGCCAGGAAATCGTTCCAAACACTCATTTAAAAAAAAGGCAGCAGTCACAAGGGGAAAGGAAGTGGACACTGTCAGAGGTGGCAGGTGTGTTTTGAGGCCAGCCACGCTTTGCTTTTAATGAGGCACTATTACAGGTCTCCAATTGTGTGCCACCAGGGAGCAAGACATTGAGGGCTTCTTAATTTTTATAAGCATCGCTTTGAAGGAAAAGAACACTTCATTTGGATGTAGGTTTGGTGCCTACGGTTTAAAATGCGTAAAGGGCATATAATTCATGTGTTCCAGTTTAAAAAATAAAATATTAAAAGAAACCTTCACGAACAATTAGAAAAAGTTGAAAATAATGTAAAACTGGATTCCAGGTATCTTTCTTTTTGGGGGGCGGAGAAGAGAGGAAGGGTAACTAAACACTCTTCCTTCTCCCTCCTCTTTTGTACACTGTAGACAGATATTCCAGTAGCTTCCTTTTTCACTCGTTAAAGCAGAAGTGTCAGGAAGACTACAGTCTCTCTTCTGGCATCTTCCCGGAGTACTCCAAGTACCATGAAAACGAAGGAGGGAGCGAGACGCGTGTCAGTCCCGTGGTGCCCTACTTAGAGAGAGCAGCAGTGTCTGGATAGGAAAAGAGTTAAAATGTTTCCTGTAACTATGAATCAGCTAATGGCTAAAAAGTGTCAAGGTTTCATGGGCTTCACACCAGACCCCATCCTATGCCTACAGAAGCTACACTCTCGAGAATGCTCTGTTCACCTTCAAAACAGTGTTTCATCGGAGTCCCTCCACAATCTTGGGACAAGTGAGGAGAGAGGCAAAAGCAGCCTCAAACTACCTCTGGCTAGTAAACTGGCCCACGGAAGATGTGATCATCGGTGATCTACCCCCCACACCGCTCACCACCGGTCCGGGATGAACCTCAAGAGTTGTGTTTACAAAGCATCTACAGACCCACACCGTGCGTGCCCGTGTGCCTTACACGGATGTAGGATGGGGACACACGCGTGAAGTCCTTCGAGTTGCGTGAAGTCCCAGGGAAGGGGTGGGAGGGAGAGCGAAAAAAGTCGCTCCGTCGTGATTTTCCGAGGTCACTTCTAGGGACTCACCCGCGGGCGCGTTCCGGTAGCGGAAAGCGGGCCCGGAGGCGATCGACGACAGTCGGGCCCCGGACCCCGATCGGTCCCCCCCGGCGAGGGGCGCGCGGGCCGGGACGTGCCCCCAGAGGTCGGCTCGAGGCTCGACCCCGCCCCTGCGCGCCCCCGACGACCCCCACAGGCGGTGGAGGCGGCCACGCCGCCGGTGCGCGACTCACATGTGCGGATTCCTCCTGAAGGCGTTGGTGATGTCCTTCACCACCCGCTGCACCAGCACGGCCACCTCCTCGCTCGTCTCGGCCATGTTGGCGGCGGCCGCGGCGGCTCGGGCGCGCCTCCGGGAGAGCGCCGGGCGGCCGGCGGGAGTTCCGCGGCGGTGCGCGCGCGTGTGCGCCGGTTTGGCCGCGCCCCCGCCCCCGCGCCCGCCCCCGCCGCCGCCGCCGCCGAGCACTTCCGGGTCATGCCACCGGCAGCTGGGGCGTGGCGCCCGCCGCCCACACGGGCTGAGGCAGCCTGGTTGGTCCCCGACTTTTCGCTAGCGGCCGAGCTTCTAAGCGTCCGGGAAGGTGCTGCAGATTCCTTTGCAAAGTTGCTTGAGGTCGTTGTTTTACACGATTTATTTTAATTCCTAGTCCACTCGGGGCCGAAGAGGGAGGGGTTCTAAAGTCACGCCTCCGGAGCCAGAGTCGGCGTGAAGCCCACCCCCACCCCCTTCCCGGCCACCCACTCTCAAGTGTTGTGGGAAACAGCTTTCCTGAGCTTCTGCAGGAAAGTTTAGCTGAGGGTGCGGGTCCTCCTGAGCTGTTCGTCCCGTGGCGTGTGGGGAGCCTCTTCGCCCTCTTTTCCCAAAGGGAGGGATGGCGCGGTCCCCAGACGCTGGTAGCGGAGTGAGCCCAGTTGGACCGTGTTGGTGACCTCCTTTTGTACCTGCGTGCTAAAAAAAAAAAAAAAAAAAAAAAGTTTAATAAATGTATTAAAGGAGGAAAAAGGAAAATGAAAGTTATTTGCCACCAGGATGTAGGGAGTAGACCGCAGAAATATTTTTTAGATTTTCTGTGAGTGTATTTCACTTCGTCCATCATTTGGTGTGCTTTGGACTTTGCGTGTCAATTTTGGCGATTTTTTAGAAAACCGAGACCCTGACGAAGTTTGCTCTTAATAGCCATTAACCTTGCTACAAATATTTTTTGTAAGAAAAGCTAGCTTTCTAGTTCCTTTGGATTTTGAAATGCCATATATCAGATTTCCCTTCACGCCTCTGTGATAGAGAAATCTGGGTGCCTTAGGTTCAGTTATTTTTACTTAATCCTTGAGATCTATATCTTTTAAAAACTTCTTTAAGTTCATAGTCTGTATAATATGAAATAATGTGGAGCATTTGAAGTAGGGTTGATGGTTGTGAAAGTAAAAACCATACATTGGTTGCAAAATTCATAAAGCATTGAATGAGAAATATAAATGAACTATATCCAGTGGATAATACTGGCTGTGGGTATTGATGTAGGAAAGAACGTCAGGGTTTGAAGCCAATGGCCAATATAGAATTCTTAAGAGGTGTTTGGTGCAAAAAGGTGATTTTATTAAAGCACAGAGACAGGACTCATGTGCAGAAAGAGCTGCAATGGGGTCAGGAGAAGTGGCCTGTTACATGCTTTCAAGTTGGGAGGGGGTTAGGATAGGGTAAGTCTCTAAGGAATTTTGGAAGCAAGGTTTCCAGGATGTTGAGGGAGCTAACTATTGTTGGGAAAAGGTCATTTATTACGTGTAATAAAACTTTAGTCATGAGACCCTTCAGATGTATATCGGTAGGCCATATGCTTGGGGGTTGATTGCCAGCACATATCTTGGGGGTTCAGAGATAAAGGAAATTTCTTTTTTTTTTAATTTTATTTTTAGAAGATTTTATTTATTTATTTGACAGAGACACAGCAAGAGAGGGAACACAAGCAGGGGAGTGGGAGAGGGAGAAGCACACTTCCTGCTGAGCAGGGAGCCCGATGCCAGGTTCCATCCCAGGATCCTGGGATCATGACCTGAGCCAAAGGCATACACTTAACGATTGAACCACCCAGATGCCCCAGATAAAGGAAATTTCTAGAGAAATTTTTATGTGTTAAAGTAGACTTACAGTATCGGGGGGGGGGGGGGGTTGTCAATCAGTCTAGGATTACCTTTTGCCCTTAGCAAAATATTAATATCGAGGCAGTTGAGTCCCTAGAGGAATGTCACTCTGCCTGTTTTAAGGACTTGTCAATGGGCTGTAGGTAGTAAGGAAATTTAATAATTTTTCTTCTGCCTTTGTTTCCAACGTCAGGTATGTTGATAAAAGTTAGACCTGCTGTCTGGACCCTGGCCTTCTGGTTTTAAAAGAAATGAGCTAGAAGTTTCATGAAATTGTATAAAAGCAAGATGGGACAGGTTTGAATTAGTAAAATCAAACAAACCTCAACCTTTTGACAAGTTTTCAAATGAGGCAGTGAAGTGAATTAATGTGTGTTTAGATTCCAAGGCCAAGAATTACTTCAAATATCCTAGTTACTCTTAAGAATGTGATACCAATTTTCAAATGGTCTCTGTTACATCTGATAAGTCTTCCTCTTTACTTAAAGTGTTGCATCCTTTCCTAATACAAGTGGCAAATAAATCCTGACTTTGGGGGCACCATACTCAAAAATACAATTTTTTTTTCAAAGACTAATTTTATGTTAAAAATTAGTGAGATTTTAAAACCTTAAAATATATTTAACAGGGAAAAAACCCAAACTTTATCCTTAAATCCTGAAGTAAAACTGATGATCCAGAAAGATAATTCCTCTGTATGGTTCTGTTTATGCTCTCCCCACATACATACACCTAGATGTACATACACCTTCTTTGTACTCATTTGAAAGGCATGAGTTATATGTCTCATATTTGTTTTAAGAGTTCACAAATGGTTTCACCCAATTATTAAGGAGCTACTATGTTTACAACTCAAATTTTTTAGATTTGGAGCATCTAACCCCCTGATTTTGCAGATAAGGAAGTAGGTTCAAAGAAGTTCAGTATTGAAATTCATGAGACTTAATTATGGTATGAATATAAGAATAGAATATGATAAATTTAGCATGATTTGTTGAAGGACTCAAAGATTTACATTCATGGATCTGCAAAATATATTTACATTCAGGGATCTGCAAAGTAATGAAATATTGTAAATAGCTTTAGTGCCCAACGTTGGGAATTTAGTAAATTACAGTAAATCTGTAAGATGAAATACTATTTAGTCATTTAAAAGCACATTAAAACTAGAATATATACCAAATTCCTAGTGGGAGATGTATTTATAGGAGAATTTTATTTTCTAACACAAAGAACAAAGTACAATTTTTGTAATTTAAGAATTTGTAAAAGTATATGTTGGGCGCCTGGGTGGCTCAGTCGTTAAGCGTCTGCCTTCGGCTCAGGTCATGATCCCAGGGTCCTGGGATCGAGTCCCACATCGGGCTCCCTGCTCGGCAGGAAGCCTGCTTCTCGCTCTCCCACTCCCCCTGCTTGTGTTCCTGCTCTCGCTCTCTCTCTGTCAAATAAATAAATAAAATCTTAAAAAAAAAAAAGAATTTGTAAAAGTATATGTTAATAAAAACATAGATCTGTTTGTTAGTTAACTGTTTCTTACTCATATTTTTTAGCGATGTATTGATTTTTAAATGACTTTTAGTGACCTCTAATGTATCGGTGAAAATATTTTAACAATCTACCCCTCACCCCCCAGTCATGCTTTTCGTATTTTAGAAGACTATTTGATGATGGGGAAAAAGTAGCTATGTAATGACAAAAAGAAACACCAAAACAACATACAAGACAACCCTAATTATAGATATATATATAAAATAAATTATATGTAATATCAATGTAATCACATACACATCTGTATAATAGACAAGGAGGATGTAAACTGGAATGTTAATAGTTATCTCTGTATGATAGGATTACTAGAGATAATTAATATCTATATACATTCCTTATGTTCTTCTGGGTGTTCCAAACTTTCTACAATGAAAAACCTAATATATATGTTGATGGCCTTGGTAGGAAAGAAGACAAGGTGATTTTAATGACAAGCCTAGTAATTACTTTTGTGAAAAACTGTGGGGAAACTTAAAATGTTTCCATCTTCACACTATTATTCTACTTATATCACTATGATGTGTTGTTTATTTACTCCATTTATTTGAAGTCCATTTCCCATGGTAATGTTACATAAAATAGAGTGTAAATAGTACTAAACATGTTCTTACCATGTACTATTATTACACAAACAACAAACTTCTTTCCATCACTAAGAAAAAGTAAATGTTCAGTTTTAAATGTTTCATGATAATATTACCATTGGTAACTATATACAGTGTGCCAAACTTCAGCCTTATCACTATCATAAAATTTAAAATTCAAGAACTTATTAACAAATAGAAGAGAAATAATGCTAGTCAAAAAGCTACAATATCAATGTCTTTTTATGAATTCTTAAGAAAAGCCACTAGAAGTAGTAATCATTTTTGAAGTTTTTATTAAAGACCATTTCAAGAAAAGGAATAGAAATTAATAAATGAATTTTAAATAACATGTGCATTAAACTTAGGAGAGTTTTGGTATACCCTTTGCCTTGGTGTGTGGGTTTATTTTCCCCAAACAAAACTTCATAGACAATCAAGTACTATTTTTTTTAAAAAATCACAAAACCATGAATACGAATGTCATCTATTCTTACACTTATTTGATATTGCTAGCCCTTCATTATTCTAATTGTTGACATAAAGATGAGAAGATGCATATGATATCATCTTTAAACTGTGAAGCACTATATAAAATTATTTCTATGGATAAAGAAAGCCTCATTCAAGTAAATCAGTATTAAAATACAATAGTAAACCAAGACTAAGCTGAATACTATCAATATGAAACTCTGTTGTTTAACTGTTTTAAAGAAAATTATTATACTGCGATTGTAATTAATCCCCTAGTTAAAACATGAAGTTTTTTTTTTAACCTGACAAAGTTGGTAAATGTTAACAAGATGCTAATCGTGAAGATGACTTTAAATGACTAGTTAATGCTGATATTAGAATCCCTGAGGATACAGAAGTGCAGATACTAGTTGCATAATAAGGTTTTTGTTGCTGAGTAAGTGATATTTTCTTTTTCTTGACATTTGATAGTTTGAAAATGTCATCCTTTTGCTTTGCCCTCGTCTTCTTTCCTACTGCAGAGGCCCAGGAGACCCATGATGTAATCTTCAGAAAAGAACAGAAGAAAATGTCGGAGAGAAACACAGAGAAAAAGAGTCAGTCCAGGACCTGGATGTGGAAACAGCTAGGGAGATAGGTATGTTTCCATGCTGCAATGAATGTTTCTCATGTACTGAAGATGTCAAACTGTTGTAGGAATTTTCTTAGTAATATGCCTTCTGTTGGTTGGTGAAATGAAAGAAGTTCCCAATTATGAGTACATTCTTCGGGCTCTTTTCTGCTTTCTGCTTATTTATTAGTATAAATATGACAATAATAAAAACCACAGTATTAGGTTAAAAAATCATACCTAAACATTTAGAAAGTCAGCAAAAGTTTCCTTTTGGCTACAGAAGAGGTTGGGTCTGAGACTTCTTCAGTAATTGCCTAAAAGTAAGACAAGGCCGTACCTCTCCTTTCATCTCACTTCAGTTAATTTTTCAGCTCAGAAATTTTGTCACAAAAATATACCTTATTTCTCCTTTTCTTCCTGTTTCCATGTTTTAAGCCAGTGCTGAAAGCAGTCAAAATTAACATTAGGTCAAAATCACCCATAGGAAATACTGAGCTTTCTTTGTTAAATATTGAATTATACTCTAACTTGCAGTATAGCATTTATAGAGAAGTAGAGTCCCATAGTCTAAGGTTTAAGAAAATGCCAAAGAGTAACTCCCCAATTTCTTCTGACTTTATGCACTTTAATTTCGATGGTAGGTCTCCCAAATCACTGTCGGTGTGCAAGAAGGATGGTGCAAAAGATGGAATACTGGGTTTATAGAAGGAGAAGGCCAAATACCATTCCTGAGAGGATAAGAGTCCAAGCAGTTGTACTTATTTATTCCACAAATTTTAGTGTTGTGGTGTATAAAACATTGTGCCAACCATTGGGTATACAATGTTGAGAAAAGCAGATATTATTCTTGACTTCTTGTGGGACTTACAGTCTGATGGAAGAGATACACAGTATTCATATAAACAGACAAATATATAACAGCAAATTGTAACACATGGCACAAAAGGGAAAAGGAAAGTACGTGATAGATGATAACAGTGTGGGGGTAAGGGCAGAGCTTTAGACAGTGTGGTCAGGGAAGTCTGTTCTGGGTGGTGACATTGAACCTGAGACATGAAAGATGAGAAGGAACCAGCCCTCTGAAAAGCTGGGAAAGAGCCTCACCAGCAGTGGAAACAATGTGTGTGAAGGCTCTAAGAAGAAAAGAGCCTACATAGCATGTCTTGGGAATTGAAAGAAGGCCAAACTAATAACTTTTACTCACCTGACAGTGTTTGTAAAGGGATTTTAGATTCAGTCTTGCTGTTACCTGAATGTCAACTATGAGCATGATTGCCTAGCTCCAGTTTTTATTCCTTTCTGTATTCTTTGTGTTTTTTATTGCACTACACTGGGCAGCTCACCATGGACAGCTCATGTTGCATGGTTATCTGGTATCCCATGGGTCAGGTATTTAGTCTTGGGAGCCCAGTAGCAAGCCTAGAACTTTCTCAAAAGGATAATCTTCATCAGTAGAAGAGGAATAGGCTTTTCCCCCCAAACCCTAAGGGTATTGCCATGATTATTTCCCCCTACCATTGGGTCTTCTGGGTCATATGGCCCAAGATCAGCTTGCCTGGAAGCTCTGGGATCCGTTCAAAACTATGAGTTACTAAGTAAATTACTCAAACTAGAACATTCAAATAGAGGATATGTTGCCTTCTGAATCCAAAGTGACCCATGTGCCTCTTTCTCAGTGGTGGAGTGTACAAGATGAAGCAACTTGCCCTTCACTTTGATAGAAATATTGTGACGTGCCCCATATGGCTGAACTCTTAGCAACTTCACTGTGATGGCAGTCCCCTGAATGTTTTAAGGGTTTATCTTTCACCCTCTGTCACATATGTTTTTACCAAGGAATGTAGAATATTTGCTACTCACTAAATATGAAGTCAAATACCTCAGAGTATTTGTATATTCATTCATTGTATATTCATTGTATATTCTTGGACTCTTGTATTTTTTTTCCTGTTGCATATGTCAAATGTAATTAACAGTAGTCTTATTAGTTCAATATCTTTATCCTTCTACAGAATATCAACTTCACAAGGGCTAGAACCCTGTTTATCCTGTGTGGTGCAGTATCCGTGTACCTTGCCTTGTGTGTAGTGGGGCTCTCAATTAGTACTTAAATGAATGGATAGAAGGATGGGGAAAATAGGAGAGGACAGAATAGCCAACACAGAGTACAGATGCAATAAAGTAGTGGAGGAAGTCACATAGGAATTTAATCAGAGGCTTATTCATGAGGAAACTTGAGGCCATATATTTGCAGTTGAAATTTCTCTGAAAGGCCACAGGGAGCCATTGAAGGGGTTTATGCTTCTTTGTTGACATCCACTTATTCTTTTTTTTTTTTTTTTTTAAGATTTTATTTATTTATTTGACAGAGACAGAGACAGCAAGAGCAGGAACACAAGCAGGGGGAGTGGGAGAGGGAGAAGCAGGCTTCCTGCTGAGCCGGGAGCCCGATGTGGGACTCAATCCCAGGACCCTGGGATCATGACCTGAGCCGAAGGCAGTCACTTAACCAACTGAGCCACCCAGGCGCCCGACATCCACTTATTCTTCAAGAGTGCTCCCCTTACTTTATACTTGGTTTAGTTATCCATACATATGTAAATAAGCACACATATTTGTACATACACATCAGTGAGAGAATCCATTTCATTTTTAATTTTGTTTTCCTAGCACCTGGCATATTACCTGAATATAATAAGCCCTTCAGCATTTGTTAAATAAATCAAAAAGGCCCAGTTAAAGTGCTGCCTCTACTATGAAGCCTTCTTTGATCACCCAGCTGGACATGCTCTCCTATATTCTTAAACTTAACTCCATTGTGCCCTTTGTAGTCTTTGCTTTTCATATGTTGCCTTGTTTTATGGGACTGTCAACTTCATTTTTGTATCCCAACAACATAGTACAGTTTCTTATATGAGGCAGACATTAAGTATATATTTATTGAATGGAGAAAAGAACATATGTTTGCTCTCTTGATGTTAGTGTTATGGATAGCAAATAATTATGCAAAAAAAATCATAACTCTTAAAATTTACCATTCAGTTATTATAATTTCAATAGATTTATTTTATTCTACAATGTTATTTTCACAAATTGGGTGGGTGTAGATAGGCTAGGAAAACTTTTGTTTTGGAAAAAGTTATAAATCATGTAAGGCTTTTTAAAAACCATTTTTAACAGATCAAATACCATAAAGTTCATCCTTTTAAAGTGTAAAATTTAGTTGTTTTTAATATAGTTAACAGGTCATACAACCATCACCACTATGTAATCTAAAACATTTTCCTCACCCCCTACCAAATCTGGTTCTGGTGTTAGCTCTGTCACTTCAAATTCTAGGTTTTTTGTTGTTGTTGTTGTTGTTGTTGTTTATTTTCTTTCCTTTTAGCATGCCATTGTAATCTTTTGTTGAACACTGGACATGATCTATGGGATAATTGAAACAGAGGGAAATAGGCCTTAAGTAAGAGGTTTTATGTTAACGTGGTTAGGAGCTAGGCTGTATGTCATGTTACAGCTGTAGGTGACATAGGATTCAGTTTCCTCAGGTGTACTTTTATTTTTTTCTCCCCTGTTGTCTTAGGTTTCCCTAAGCAATCCCTTTTAAAAAGAATCTGTGTCTTCCCACTCTCTCAGTTATAATCCACTATTATTATACTGGAGCCCTGTTGATGTGGTGCTAAGTTGTTGTGGGAGAGGAATTGTTCCATAATTTTATGAACAACTTTCAGCCTTTTAGTGGACCTGAGTCCTTGGGCTTTGACTTTCAGAAATGCTCCTTAGTTTTTTGCTTTTTTTCCTCTTAGGTTAAATAAGGGAGGGGCTGGACTTGGCTGAATGCCCTTACCTCGGTCATATAAGGGTATAGTAACATCATTTTACTTGGAGCATTGGCCTTTACTACAGAGAATGCTTTGGGTGTATTTCAAAATGGTTACTTAACCCCTCCCTGTGACTAAAATGGGCAGGTATTTTGGGGGGTCATTACCCTGAGAATCTGGTGGGGATCCTTGAGGTAAAATTCATAAGAATGTTCGGGTTCCCCTAAGATTGGGTCCCCCAAGGAGTTTCTCAATCACACTCAGCCTCCAGCCATTTGTCAAGTTTATCACTGAAGTATTCATAGCAGTTGAAGACTCCAGCATCTTTTGCTCCAGGTAAGCTGATCTCAGTGTGCCTCTCTGTGTTTGGCTCTCTCTCAAATTTCTGGGTGACAGTTTGTCCTGTGATCTTAATTCTCTGATGGGTCTAAGAAAAGGCATTTGTTTTCAGTTTGTTCACCTTTCGTCTTGTTTTAAAGATGGGAGTGATGACTTCCAAGCTCTTTACATGTTGGAGCTGAAACCAGAAGTCTTCCAAACTTTTTATTAAAGTCCTAAATAGAACATATTTTGGACTTTGTGGGGTTGTATGGTCTCTGTTCCAGTTACTCAGCTCTACTGTTGTAGCCTGAAAGTAGCCATAGGCAATAGACAAATGAATGGGAATCTGTATTGTTTTTCTATTATTTCACCTATTTCTGCTCTAATCTTTACTTCCTTCTGCTTATTTTGATTTAATTTTCTCCACTTTTTGTACTTTCTTAATGTGGAAGTTTAGGTTATTGATGAGATTTTTTTATATATATATTGGTATTTATGCTAAATGTTTTCCTCTAAGCACTGAGTTTAACTGAATCCCGTAAGTTTTCAGCATGTTGTGTTTTCATTTGCATTCATCTCAAGGTATTTTCTAATTTCCCTTTTCTCTGATCTGTTGATTATTTAAGAGTGCGTTGTTTAACTTCCACATATTTGTGGATTTTTCTAGTTTCTGTTACTTATGTCTTATTACATTCAGTAACATTCTGTTACTTATGTCTTATCTCATTGCAGAGAACATACTTTGTCTGATTTTCATATTACTAAGTTTACTGAGGCTTCTTTTATTCATCTATTCTGGAGAATGTTCCTGGTACTCCTGAGAAAAATATGTATTGTGCTGCTGTTAGGTAGAGTGTTCTATAGATATCTTTTGGGTCCAGT